TGACATATTTCTACTCTCACCAATTGAGTTGAATCTGCTTACCAAGAATTAGAGGTGTTGTATCTTTCAGGTGTGCTTCTTACTATAATCTTGTATATTATATAAATTAACAAAAATAGTGCTGAAAGAAAATTGCTTTTGTGAAAACGAAGTTGATTGCTTTGGAAAGACTTACAAAGAAGTCACTTAAAAAAATTACTTGCTTGTGAATTAGGCCTGGGTGAGACCACTGTAAATGTTTAGGGGGAAAATATATACAAAAATTCATTTTGTGTTAAGTGGTCTGAAGTACTCCATCTATTTCAAAAAGACCTAAATTAGAAGAACTCATAGCTAGTATATTAGAGAAGAGGGCTTCTAAAGCCGCCTGTATGTAGGTGTATCTGTTTCTGGACCTTAATCTATATTCTACTGGTCTATTTGATATTCTATACCAATATCATATTCTTTTAAATTGCCTTAATATTTTAGTGCATTTTGATATCTGATAGGGTATGTTTGCCTATAGTGGGAATTTCAGCTGAAAAGAACAAAACCCAACTAAAACTGTCTTAACGTAATAAAGAAACACATTAGTTCAAGGAACTGGAGGTTTAGGGGGCAGTTTTTAGTACTTATTTTAGCAGCTCTGGCTCTATTTCCCAGAAGCCCTCCTTTCATTTGTTTGTCAGCTTCATTCTCCAGCTGGTGACAAGATGGCTGCAGGCCTCACATCTGTCCATGACAAAATACAAAGACAGTCTTTTACTACGTTTCTCAAGAGCCAGTCATTACCCTGAAATTGCTAGCATAGTTTTCCTTGCATCCCATTGGCCTTAAGTGGGTTAATATGGACAAAACTAGCAAGGAAGAGATTGTCATGATTGGCTTAGATGAGTTCTCAGTCCTGCATGTACATTAGAATCACTTGGATGGCTTTTAAAAATAGTAATGCCTGAGTGACAATCCACACTGATTAGAATCTCTGAAGTAGGGGCCCCAAGCTCCTGTATTTTTTAAAAAGCTCCATAGGTGATTCTAAATGGAGGGAAAGCTTTCATTAACCCAAATACACCTTTGAAGCTAGAGTCATTCCCCCAAGCTGCATGGCTAAAATAATAATAATGAGGTGGCAACTATAAGGATGATTGGGATATTGTTAGGAAAAGAGAAAATGAATGCTGGATATACAACCTACCAACTATTATACCAACTCTTATTGTTGTTTTTTTTTTTAACCAACTCTTATCATTATACTCTTTTTTTAAGATTAATTTTGTAGATTAATTTTGTAGATTAATAAGGGGGTGGGAAGACAGGTTCCCACAGGAAGGAATCACAGTTGGTGCCCAAGTATCCCTGACAAAATCTCTCTGCTTTTCAGTGTCTCAAAAAGTCTATCACTTGTGATTTTTTACATCATGCACCAGTTATTATTTAGACTTGGTTGTACCGTTTCTTTTTTTTTTTTTTTTTTTTTTTTTTTCAATTTGGCTGCGCCTGGTCTTAGTTGAATGTAGCACGCAGGTTTTTTGTTGCGGCATGCATGATCTTTAGTTGTGGCATGTGAACTTTTAGTTGAGGCATGTGGAATCTAGTTCCCTGACCAGGCATGGAACCTGGGCCCCCTGCATTGGGAGTGCAGAGTCTTAGCCACTGGACCACCAGGGAAGTCCTGGTTGTAAGTTTTTATTTGCAAGTAATTTCAAACAGAAAAATTGCAAGAATACAAATTAATTTTTCTGGTTTCTCCCTGTTCGTCATTTCTTGAATACCACATCGTCCTCTTTTTTTTTTAACATTATTAATTTTGCTGCTGTATATACTTGAGTCATTATTTTAGAAGACTGTATGGTAGGTTTTGAGACCTTGCAATAACCCCCCAAAAGTATCTACCTTGTAGATATAAAAGTATCTACACTTGAATGCGAGGGCTTGTTGAATTCTAGATTAAAATGCATTTCCCTGAGTACACTGAAGAACTTGCTTCATCATTGAGAAAACAGAATCAGTATTTTGGATAGTCAATATCCAAAATCAGAAGCTGATTTTTTTTGCTTGCTAAACCGGGATGGCTCTTTATGTAAAACAGTCTCTCTGAAGAAAGCAGAGAGCTATTCTAGGTTCAGAAGTGACTTAGGTTTGTAACATTTCCTTTCTTTGTTCTAAAAGAGTTTGCATAAGTTGGATTTATTTGTTCTTTGAATTTTAATAGAACTTGCCTGTGAAACCATCTGGACCTGGTGTTTTCATTATGGGAAGATTTCTTAATGACTAATTCAATTTTATTACTTTTGTTATTTTAATTTTTCTATAAATTTGTACATTTTACTTTTTCTCAGATTTATTGATGAAGTTTTTAATATTGCCATGTCTTTTGAATGTCTGTAGCATCTATTAATGTGACTCCCTTTTTATTCCTGGTAATTTGGTGTGCTTTTTTTCATTTTTAAAAAAATTTATTGAAGTATAGTTGATTTACAATGTGTTAATTTCTACTGTACAGCAAAGTAATTCAGTTACACATATATATATATGTTCTTTTTCATATTCTTGTCCATTATGGTTTATCACAGGATATTGAATACAGTTCCCTGTGCTATACAGTAAGACCTTGTTTATCCATGCTATATATAATAGTTTGCATCTGCTAATCCCAAACTCCAGTCCATCCCTCCCACACCCCCTGCCCTTGGCAACCAAAAGTCTGTTCTCTGTGTCTGTGAGTTTGTTTTGTAGATAAGTTCATTTGTGTCATATATATTGTATTTGTCTTTCTCTTTCTGACTTACTTCACTTACTATGATAATCTCTAGGTCCATCCATGTTGCTGCAAATGGCATTATTTCATTTTTTTATGGCTGAGTAGTACTCCATTGTATATATATACCACATCTTCTTTATCCATTCCTCTGTTGATGGACATTTAGATTGTTCCATGTCTTGGCAATTGTAAATAGTGCTTCAATGAAGAGTAGGGGTACATGTATCTTTTCAAGTTATAGTTTTGTCTGGATATATGCCCAGGAGTGGAATTGCAGGATCATATGGCAACTCTATTTTTAGTTTTTTGAGGGACCTCCATACTGGTTTTCATAGTGCCTGCACCAGTTTACATCCCCACCAACAGTATAAGAGGGTTTCCTTTTCCCCACATTCTTTCCAGCATTTGTTATTTGTAGACTTTTTAATGATTGCCATTCTGACCAGTGTGAGGTGGTACCTCATTGTAGCTTTGATTTGCATATCTTTAATAGTTAGCAGTGTTGAGCATTTTTTCATGTGCCTGTTGGCCATCTATATGTCTTCTTCGGAGAAATGTCTATTTAGGTCTTCTGCCCATTTTTTGATTGGGTTGTTTGTTTTTTTGTTACTGAGTTGTTTGAGCTGGTTGTATATTTTGGAAATTAAGCCCTTGTTGGTCACATCATTTGCAAATATTTTCTCCCAGTCCATAGTTTGTCTTTTCGTTTTGTTTGTGGTTTCCTTTGCTGTACAAAAGCTTTTAAGTTTGTTTAGGTCCTATTTGTTTTTATTTGCTTTTATTTCTGTTGCCTTGGTACGATTTATGTCAGAGAATGTCTTGCGTATATTCTCTTCTCAGAGTTTTATGGTGTCATGTCTTGTATTTAAGTCTTTAAGCCATTTTAAGTTTATTTTTGTGTATGGTGTGAGGGTGTGTTCTAACTTCATTGATTTACATGTGGCTGTCCAGCTTTCCCAACACCACTTGCTGAAGAGACAGTCTTTTCTCCATTGTATTTTCTTGCCTCTTTTGTTGAAGATTAATTGACCATAGGTATGTGGGTTTATTTATGGGCTCTCTTTTCCTTTTTTCATTGATTAGTCTTGCCAGACTCTGTCCATTTTTTAGTCGTGACAAAGAACTACCTTTTGTTTTGCTGAGCCTTTCTTCTATATCTTTGTTTTCTGTTTCATTAAATTCTGCTTTTATTTGTATTATTTCCTTTTATCTACTTTTCTTTATGTTCTTCTTTTCTAACTGAAGACAGATGGTCAGTTCATTAATTTATTTTTAACTTTTATTTTTCTGATGTAACTATTTACAACTACAAATCTCCTTTTTATATACTCCTTTTGCTGCATCCCACAAAGTTAGCTATATAGTCTTTAATTTTACTTTTAAGTATTTTCCAAATTCTATTATGATTTCTTCATTGACTCATGAGTTTTTAGAAGTTTCTAAATATTAATATATAAGGTTTTTGAAAAGCTGTCTTTTTATTATAATTGTCAGAATATGGTTGTAGGGTGCCAAGTACATGAAAAATGTAGAGACTTTTTTATGGCCTAGCATTTGATTGATTTTTGTATATGTTCTGTTTATATTCTTCTGTTTGGAAGTTATATTTGTATATGTTTATTACATCAGACTTAGCGGTTATGATGTCAGTTCTTCTTTAGCCTTACTAATTTTTTGTCTCCTTAATTTATTACTGAGATAAACATATTAAAAGTTGTCCTCTATGATGATGATTTTGTCAATTTTTCCCTGTGGTTCTATTTTGGGGCTATATTAATAAGTACCAAGTTTAGCTGTTATATATATTGAATAAAACCTTTTATCATGGGCTTCCCTGGTGGCGCAGTGGTTGAGAGTCCGCCTGCTGATGCAGGGGACACAGGTTCGTGCCCTGGTCCTGGAAGATCCCACATGCCACGGAGTGGCTAGGCCCGTGAGCCATGGCCGCTGAGCCTGCGCTCCGCAACGGGAGAGGCCACAACAGTGAGAGGGCCATGTACAGCAAAAAAAAAAAAAAAAAAAACCCTTTTATCATGATGTAGTTAATTTCCTTATCACTAGTAATAGTTTTGCCTTAAGTTATTAATACAGCTACACCAGTTTTGTATTGATTAGCATATGCCTGGTATTTTAATTTTTTTCATATTTTTATTTTCAATCATTCAGCGCTCTTTGGTTCTTAGGTGTGTTTCTTTGGAAAAGCATGTAGACTACTACTAGTTAAGCCTTATGTAAAATATTTTCTGTGTGGTTACAGTGCAGAAGCTGCTGAAAAATGGCAGAAGAAGTGGTGGTAGTAGCCAAATTTGATTATGTGGCCCAACAAGAACAAGAGCTGGACATCAAGAAGAATGAGAGATTGTGGCTTCTGGATGATTCTAAGTCCTGGTGGCGAGTTCGAAATTCCATGAATAAAACGGGTTTTGTGCCTTCTAACTACGTGGAAAGGAAAAACAGTGCTCGGAAAGCATCGATTGTAAAAAACCTAAAGGATACGTTAGGTAAGTTATTTTTGTATTAAAACAAGAATGACAGTACTTTCTATTAAATGAATGCTGGAGCTTGGTTCTTTGTACTGAATTTTGGCAGCAGTGGGCAGAATCAACTAGAACATCCCAGGGCTGGGATTTCAGCTAGGCAAGGTAAATTTGGCTCATAGCAGGGGTATTCAAGTCAGGTGTGTTCAAGGAGACCAGTGAAGGTCAGTTTCTGTAAATCTAGCTGGTGGACCTGGCCAGAGTTCAAGAGTCAAGCCAGAGTGATGCTGACAGTGGAACTTAACTCTGATCTTCTATCAGGGGCTCCTTGAACCATGAGTGCCTGTTGGAATTTAGACAGATTCTACATCTAATTGAGATAGGGATAAAATGAGTGAGATGCAGAATATCCTCCTTGTCATCAAGGCAACATATTTTACAGGATTGCTTCATTGCTTCATTTTACATCTAATGGCTTATATTTTGAACTGTGCTTTTAAAAACAAACTATCATTTTATTCTTATATTTGATAAAAGAGTTTTAAATTGTGCATTACTGTATATTAGCATCTACAAAGCTTATCTCTTTCTTATTTTGTTTCTCTTTTTTCCTCTTCTTTCTTCCCCTAACTGTAAATTTTGTTTGTTTTTACTGGCCTTCCGTTAGGGCCAGGGATAGGGGAACCTACTTCACATTGGGCTTGGCCAAGCTGTGATAGGAAGGAAATACGTGCAAATGAGGCCTAGGCTGTCTCTCTCTCTCTCTTAATTCTCCTTGGCTGACAGGAAGGAATTGGGAGGGACAGAATTTCCCTCAGGTATTCAGGCAAGCATGCTGTTACTTAATAGTTTTTGGTATATATGTAGGAGAAGAAGTAAAATTTCTCCTTGAAAAAAGATAGTTTGAGAGTAATGTGGCATGATTGATGAATATGGAATATTATTGACTAACTGCTTTATATTAGTTTTTATTTCTTATTCAGCATTATTGTTATTCTATTATTCTATTCTAAAGGTCATTTAATAAATGGAGTTACTAATCTGAATTTTCACCATGATACTTAACTGCTTTAACTAGTTAAGGTTTGCCTTTTTTTGAGATTTTAAGGTTTTGCAAATAAGGCCATTATTATTAGTTTTTAACAGTAGTTTTTAAATAGAAGACAATTCACATATGAATGAAAGACAGTTGGAAAGAGATTGTCCTTGAATAGCTGAAGAGACCAAAGTTAGAACCAGGAATACTTGTGATTTTGTAAATACTGGACATTTATTTAAAGCATGTTGATTAGGTGTATTAGGGAAAGTTAAGGTAACTTCTATCAAGAAAGTATGCCTCATAGTGATGAAGGCACAGAAAGGACTAGGGCCACACCTAGATAAACTTTTATGTTCCTTTTAAAAAGGATAGTGGTATCCTGAGAGGTATAGCAGATGTGACAGTAATTAACAAAAGATAGTGAAAAAACTAATATAGAGCAAAGAGGAAAAACACTCCAGTTTTAGATATGACTGCATATGAATTTTAAAAGCCTTATTAGATACAGTTTTTATTATTAATACTCCTGGGAAACCTTCTATATTATTTTCTGATATTATTGAGACAGTTTTAGCAAGACTATATCTATTTAAGTTCTAGGCTATCGCTGTTAATTTTATTAGTATATTACAGTTATTGCTGTCTATTCCAGAGGACTAGTGGTCTATAGTGAGACTGTATAATGATGTAAATCCAGCTTTTGCATCGGACAGCCTTCTTTCCTTTCTCAGAATTTCTGAATCCCTTTTTGGTAGGTAACTTAAATGTCCCATATAACTAATGGATTTTTTTCACAATGATTGATTGTGCTGATGGAGACACTATTTGAAGGTTAAGAAAGAAAAGGAGAAAACAAAGGAAAGAATGAATACATGAATATATTTTCAACTGTTGAAAAAAAAATACACGCTTTAAAGCTTCTTCCAAAATAAATATGAATAGTAAGGTCATATTTGTGGCCATCACTATATACTTGTTTTATAGGTTCTGTTGGAGTTCAGGGGAAAAGTGTTTTGGAAAGAGAGAAGCCTCAGCAAACCTTTCTATTGCCTGGGTGTGGGCCAAGTCACATGTATTGGGTGTGGGGAGTTTCAATGTTGCAGAACCAGGAAGTTCACCGAGAATTATCCTGAGCTGTGTTAACAAACTGACGAAAGAGAACACGGGATTTTTTTAATGGATTGGTTAAAGGTCTTTAAAGATTTTTTCAGTAAGTTAATCTGTTTATTAAATCTGTAGTTTTCTTGTAGTTTTTGAAATAGAGTTTTCACTTTGTGAATTTAAAGGAAAACTACGGATAGAACATGGTAGGTTTATATAGGCTGGTGCTTTATATTGTTGATGAAACATAAGCTAAGTGATTGGTGATACATCAAATATCAATAGCTTTGACTTGATAAGTAATTAAAAATTTTTAATATCAATGTTTAAATAACAGACAGGAAAAGGATATAAATGATTTGAGTTTGATGCAGTTAGTTCTTTGAACTTAGCATAGACATTTGAAGTGAATTAAATAAATTGTAAACATATTAAAAACAGGAGGAGAAAAAGGCTTTAAGTGAGCAAGTTCCTTCATCCTCAACATTTGAAGTAACATGATATTGTTCTGGTGCTTTTTGCTTAGATTTCAGAGGACCGATGTAGAAGATAATGTTTAATAAAAGCATCAGTAAAGAGAATGTTTTGACTTAATGTCGGATTGCTAGAAATTGCTATTTTGGTTAATGTGAGACTTGATATTTTGAAATGAATTGTAAGAGCAGCTGCATACAAAGAATATGAAAACATTGATAGAAAATAGTGAATTCTTAGATTGTTTTTGAGTTCAGGTCATAAAGTAATTCTAATACTAACAAGAACCTCATCTGTGTATCTGCTGATAGCCTTTTTATACTCTTATGATAGTGAACTTGATTTGGTCTCTTTGAACAATTGCTCGGTGGTTCTAGGAAAATGAACAGAGGGATTGTTGTAGAAGTCTCTTATGTGTAAGGAGTCTAAGGAAACAAAAAGTAACCTGTCAAAAGATTTCGGGGCAAAGGGCAAAATGGAAAGGGAGTAAAAGCACTTTGTTGAAAAAAAAGTTGTAACATTAAGACTGATTCATTTCTTTAATTAACTTTGGTGGCCAAGTAAATCCTTTTAGAATATATCTCTTTCGTTTACTTTTTGGGGAGTTGTTAAAATTTTAGACCCATTTTGGGGGGTTAGTTTTCCTTTTAAAGAGCTTATTTATTCATTCATTTGTTTATCAACATTTTTATTGAGAGCCTACCCACTGCAAGCCACACAAAAATTATAGAATGAAAAACTAACACTAACTGTCACAGAAGTTACATTCTGGTGAGGAGGTAGGTGGTGGTTGTTACACTAACTGTCACAGAACTTACATTCTGGTGAGGAGGTAGCTGGTGGTTGTTATTTATTATTAATATTTCATATCTGAGTTTGATATCTAAGTGATGTTGACCATAAATCAACTAGAAGTGGTATAAAAAGAATATATTATGTCATTGATACAGTGATTTAATATATACCATCAATACAGTATAAAATTTATAGAGTCTTAGAAAGCTGATAGTTATTTTTAAATACATGTGTAGACTGAGAGGATTTGAGATTTATAATCAAAATATTCCTTTCCTCACTGCCTGCAGTAAGCCAGAATTTATATTTATTTAGCTCTGTAGCTGTTCACCAACCTTTTCCCTGAATGGCCTTGAAAAGTAAGAGGAAACAATACATGTGCTCCTTGTGTGGTAGCCAGAATACCCTTGAGAACAAAAAGGGCACATTGTTTTAGAGAAAGCAGAGAATAATAAAAAGCAGTAATTTATCTTCATATAAATCAAGTGAACAGATAAAAATACAAAAAAATCAAATAAAAACCTGTACTGGAAAGAACATCATTTATATGTATTTAGAATTCCTTTGTTCTGCTCCCAGATATATCACTTATAGGCCATGTGGCCAACGGTATATAACTTTCCTAATCTTCTGTTCCTTATTTGTAAAGGCAAGACCAGATGATCCTGGAAAGTCCCTTCTGACTCTGAAAGTCTTTAGTCCTGGTAAACAACTGATCAGTCTTACATGTGGTATAGAAATCAGGGGAAAGTCCATAAGGGAGAAACTGGTTTTGAAGAAGGAGGAACATAACAGAATTATAGTTCCCTAAAGAATTCGCAAGAATCCGTAATACTTTCTTAGGCCTTATTCTATTGAACACTTGTTTACTCTGATTTAGATGGAAGGGAAATGACATGCTTAAGGTAAAGACCTAATGATGGAAGTATAACTAGTACATTGAGTTCAGAAATTTATTTGAAAGCTAAAAACTGAGAAATAAACAAGATGAATAGAAACAGACATAATTGTAAAATTCTACATTAAGTTTTTAAAAGGAATTGAAAAAGTTGCTGAGAATTTGCCTTGGCTGCAATTTACATGAGTGAAAAACTTAGTAGGAGCTGCTGTGATAATGTAGGTGCTAAAAAAAATATCTCAACACTCTGTATGATGGCATTGTTTCAAATCTACGAGGCACTCAGGTGAAGGGATGCAGTAGTTCCCTAGTGTGTGTGCTGGCCAAATAAAACATGACATCGTCTATTCACTTTGGATAAATATACTTTAACAGTGATATTGAGAAACTCAGATGCTTCCAAATACTAACATCAAGTATATCAAAGGATTTGGAAACCAGGTTACATAAAGAATAGTTATGGGTACAAAGATTTGCCTTAGGGAGAGGACAACTATTGTGTGAAGATGGAATATTTACAGTGCTTAACCAGATTCTTAAAAACTTTTGAGGAGTTAATAGTACATTGTTGTGGTCAAGAAACAGTGCTATAGGAAGAAAGAAGTAAGACTAGTGGATTGGAGTGAGGGGAAAACTATACTAATGCTTTTGGTTTTTTAAACAAAGCTAATGATAAAAATGACTGCCTCAGAGTTATGCACATCCTTAGTGCATATA